AAAAAAAAAGAAAGTTTTTTTTTACTTCGTGAAATTACTGTCTGTCTTAGCTAAGCTATATTAAGGATCAAGTAGATGCAGGGAAAGTGAGGACTTAGCAAGCACCTTTACAGGATTAGCAAATGAAACTAGTTTAAAAGTTTAGTATAAATTGTTTAGGTTATAACCGTTTGATGTAGCAGTCACATGCAAATTCACAAGGTCTAGAAAAGTTACTTAAATGTTTAGAATCATGGAGATTGTGCAAAACTAGAAAGTCTTTTCCATATTGAAAAGCATTTACATTTTAATTTCTGAATATTACGGTGTGGGACTGAATAGCAAATACGCTGTTTTTTGGTGTTGCAATGTGCAGTTTCTGCTTTGAAATCCTGTGATGTATGACTGTCTTACGGTGGATGGTGGTCTATCTTTTCTGCACGTGAATCTTACTGTAGCTGTAGGCAAAAATAAGTTTTTAAATTGGGAAGTCATTTCAGGATTAGAGAAGGCAGGAAAGTCTTCTCTAGTGTGAAGAGATGAATAAAGACTTGGTTAACTTTTTTTTTTGTTGAGACAGAGTTTCGCTCTTGTTGCCCAGGGTGGGGTGCAATGGCGCAGTCTCAGCTCACTGCAACCTCTGCCTCCTGGAGGCAATTCTCTTGCCTCAGTCTCCCAAGTAGCTGGGATTACAGGCATGTACCACCACACCCAGCTAATTTTGTATTTTTAGTAGAGACAGGGTTTCACTATGTTGGTCAGGCTGGTTTCGAACTCCTGATCTCAGGTGATTCACCTGCCTTGGCCTCCCAAAGTGTTGAAATTACCAGCATGAGCCACTGCGCCCAGCCTTGCTTAACTTTATAATTAAGTACTTCAGTATTCGTTGAATGGACTGTGGGAATCTATTGACATTATTTCTTCAAATCATGAATGAAATCAGAACTAAAACATTTCATATTTATAGTTAAAGCAATTTAAATACACATTTAAATATTTGTTTTGTTAAAATAATTTACTGTTTTATGGTTGAGAGAAAACGTCCAGAATACATGATGCCTTAAAAAAAATTTTTTAGCAGAGAAATTTTTACTACCGTTGTCCTAATAGAGTCAAATAAAATAAAAATTCCCCTATTTATGAATTATTAGTTGAAGTGGAAGTTTGCTGTTTCTGTATAAGAATCTACTTTAGTTTAGTTAATGAAACAAAGATTGAACAGATTATTCAATTTTCTGTTTCAATTGTTCGAAACTTTAAAAAGTAAGTATCAACTTTAAAAGAACTAGCGTACATTGGCCGGGCGTGGTGGCTCATGCCTGTACCAGCACTTTGGGAGGCCTAGGCGGGTGAATCATGAGGTCAGGAGTTCGGCACCAGCCTGGCCAATATGGTGAAACCCTTTCTCTACTAAAAAAATACAAAAATTAGCCGGGTGTGGTGGTGCGTGCCTGTAGTTACAGCTACTTGGGAGACTGAGGCAGAAAGAATCGCTGAACCCAGGAGGTGGAGGTTGCAGTGAGCTGAGATCGCGCCACTGCACTCCAGCCTGGGTGACAGAGTGAGACTCCATCTCAAAAACAGCAACAAAAACAACAACAACAAAAAACTAGTATACACCTAGCACAATAAAGCCAGTGTCCAAGACGAGTTGTGTTTAATGCGTATTACTTTTATAGCAAAACAGCAATAGTGACTTTGTTTTTTTAAAGAAAATTTAGGTTACATTGAATATTGCTGTTCAGTGATTCAGCAAATGTATTCGTCCCAGTAAGCTTGAGATCTTTGGTGACTTTTGTTGAGGGGAATGAAAATACCATTTTACATCTTTAATGCCTTTTTCATAATTTTGACTTCAGATTTCTAGAAGCTCTCAATCACTTTGAGAAAGCAAGAACCTTGATTTATCGTCTTCCTGGAGTGTTAACTTGGCCCACAAGTAATGTGATTATTGAAGAGTCTCAGCCACAAAAAATAAAGGTAACCATTTATTTTTGCAAAGTATTTCTTACTGTGAATGCTTATCTGCATTGACTGACTCAGGTAGCAGGAGGCAGAGAAGTAGGAGCATTCCATCCCCACTTCCCTTACATGCATTTCCCCTCTACAGTCTATTGAGATTCTCTGACATTTATTGAATGTTTTCTATGTGCCAGTCCTGTACCTTCCACTTATCGTAATCCTTACAGCAGGCCTGTGCAGGGGGCACTGTGATCATTCCCATTTTACAGATGAGGAAGGTTAAGTTTAGAGAGGTGAAATGATGCACTCAAGGTGAAACAGCAAGCAAATCGTGGTCCTGGGACTTGAGTCCAGGCATTCTGACTTCTGAGTGTACGTGATCCTGTAGTATGCTGGACTTGGTTGTACTTAGAGGAAGGTATAGTATTGTTGTTTCATCATAAAGTTACCACAGTTACTGAGATGGTACTTGAAGATTCAGAAAAATATGAATTTAGTCTCACATCCAGAAGCATAAAGATGCTTTGCTTATTCTAGAAAGACTTATGTGTGAAATGACTGAGATAGGCTTTTACTTGTAGTGAACTCTCACATATACTCAGAACTTGATTTTGGCTGAAGCTTTTAAAACCACAGAAGTCAACTTGTACAACTCAATAATAAAAAGACAAATAATCTAATTTAAGAAGTAGACAAAGGATCTGAATAGACATTTCTGCAAAGAAGATATGCAAATAGCCAATTAGCACATAAAAAGATATTCAGCATTATTAGCTATCAGAGAAATACAAATCAAAACCACAGTGAGATACCACTTCACACTCACTAGGATGTGGGTAGACAATAAATATTGGCAAGGGTATAGAAAAATGGGAACATTCAGACACTGCTGGTGGTAATGTATAATGATGCAGCTGCTTTGGAAAATAGTTA